TGAGTTTGAATCCCGGTTTGTAATTTTCCGAACCCCTGAACTTATGCTTACAGGGGGTGTAAAGGCAAAAAATATAAAAAATCCAGTTTTTACATTTTTTTTAAATGAAAAAAAAAAATCTATCTCCAATATACTTTAATTAAAAAATGTGTACTTTTTTTTATAAGAAACCTGACTGTATGCTGTGAAATTCTCCATTTGTTTTACTTGCTCTGATGGCTGTGGATAGAAAACTTCAGATGCTTCCTAGCTGCTCTGCAGGGAAACAATCATACTATCAAACAGAAGGGGGAGCCTCCCCTCATCTCATTTCCCGGAACTGGAGCAGTTTTGTTTGTTTCCCTGTAGAGCAACCGGCGACCATGTAGAGATTGGTATCTACAGAACCAGTGCAGTCTGTATATTTTGTTTATTAATCAGTCTTTCTGTATCAGCTTCTATGGCAGAAATGATTTGACTTGTGCTGTTTTGATAATTAATGACGACCCCCAAGCTTAACCTTCCAACAGAAGCCCAGACCCCACTGAGCATGTGCATGGTCTTGGTCTTGCAAAGATGCTTAACAAAGTTACAAGATGATGACCCCCCGCAGCCTACTTTGAAAGCATAAATCATTTTTTTATAAGGCTTATGGTGCAGTAAGTTCATGTATATTTTGTTTAGTATACAAAATACAGCATTTCTAGCATTATTCTATTTTAAACTTTATTTCCCCTTTAAGCTGCCTTCTTTATTTAGCCATTGGTTCCCTTTTCTTCATGCTGCATTAACCAGTTGCAGCATCTTTGAATTTAAGGTTTCAAAGAGACATGCGGTAATGAGTAACCTATACTTTGGGCTGGGTAAATCGCCAAATCTTGGCTTCCAAAATAGTTTTTTCAAGCTCTGTATAGAACACTGTTCTCAATAAGCAATTCTCAAGATTAACCCGGGGCTGATGTCAGGCAAACCCCAAAAAAGGGCATCTGTGGGGGGAGGGTTGGTGGTGGCGGAGGGTGTTTTTCTATATGGGGACCCCC